GGGCAGATTTCTAGTGGCAAATCTTGGGTTAAAAATTCTCTGTGGGGCTGGCAATAGTAGAGGGGGTTAAGGAATTTTGCTCGCCATGTGGCTGACTTGGTTCCCCAACACCACATACATTCTCCTGAGCACTTCCAGGGTTCACACCTGAGTGCAGGGCCAGGAAGAGCTGCTGAGCACCGCTGGGTGTGACCCCCAACACTCCTCCCCAAATGTGTCCATTTTAGAATTTTTTTAAGTGCATAAAATTTTTTGATAGACTTTTTAGTGGATCAAAATAAGTTTTATTAAAAGACATTTAGAGGTGTGTGTGTGTGTGTGTGTGTGTGTGTGAGAGAGAGAGAGAGGAGAGAGAGAGAGAGAGAGAGAGAGAGAGAGAGAGAGAGAGAGAGAGAGATATTACATGGGTTTCTCTAGAGGGGAAAAAGCATAGAGAATATATGTCCAAGAGAGAACATGCATTTTCGATTTTAATAGACAAATGCTGTTTTCTCCACTGATGCTGTCTGGAAATATTAATGGAATTTTGCTGTCTGGAGACTGAAGCCAGACCCCTCTACCCTTACGCTGCCCCGCTGGCCCCTCATCATAAAGCTCCTACTGCTACGTCTTGTCTTCCTGTTCTCCAATTCCGCCCTTCGAGAAAGATTGCACACTACTCAGGCTGGGAGGCAGCTCAAAGGGTCAGAGAATGTGTATTGTATGCATGAGGCCCCAAGTTCAGTCCTCAGCACCACATACCCCAAGCACTGCTGCATGTACTCCTGGACACCCCATAAGCACTCCCCCTGGGATACTCTGCTGAACCCACCTGAGAAGCACCATATTACAGGGCCAGGACTTTGAACTACCTGGCCTAGTTAGGAGAAAACAGAGGAAGTGGCCCTTGGGCCATCTGAGCATTGTTTGGGAGGCACAAATAAATAAAAACCAAACTCACCCATCTCCTCCCCAAGCCCATTTAATCTTGTCCTATATCTTAACTTTCCTTGGGAATAACTATTGTTGAAAGGGTTGGGTTCAATGAATCTTTACTGAACTGTATTTTAATTTGGATTAGACTAGGAAAAGGTAGAGCTTAGCTTCCTAAGAACATACTTTTAAATATTACTTCCAGATAAAACTGAGCTCTGGGATAGTTATACTGTTCATATGTTTGAGCCACCTGGATCTCTTCCATGACCACATTTTTTTTTTTTTGTGTGTGTAGCAAGATCTGCATTACAACCCAGGAAGTAATCTGATCAAATTCATTACTCTATTTCTGCAAATGCCTGTAGGGTACAGGCCAGTCGCTGCAACTCCTAGGTGGAGATTAAATGTATATTTAATGATAGGAGGTAAAATCTTTTATTATTGTTCTCTTAGTAGTACCCAGTGACTATTCAAAAGCATCTATAATAATGCTACATCCTCACACTTTTGTTTATAGAATGTACTAAAAGAGGCTAGTATTGTTTTGTTATTATGGGTGGGTTTTAAAAAAACTGATAATGGAGAGAAAATTTCATTTAAAAAATAACCTGTTTAGCTCCACATCAAAATCAGCACAAGTAATCTTTATTTCTCTTTTAGTGGTCACATTTGATTTCCTGCAGTAGATAGTGATTTTTCCTAGGGTTAGGCAATGCACTGAAATATTTTCACATTTCAGAGTATGGAAAATGTGATGGACTGCAAAGCAAACATCTGCACACTAAACCCAACTTTACAATCTGCGTGTAAAACTGTGGCTATTGTTTTATTCTGGGGATAACCAAGATTTATCTCCAAGTCGGAGACACAATCAACATTTTTCCTCTAAAAGAAACATTCTCAAAGAGGTGGATGTATTAAATATATATATTGGATTGTGCCACAAGTCTAGGTAAGCCGTTGACCGTCTCACATCAAGGACATCAGTATAAAGTTGAAGCTAAAAACCTCCCTTGCTAAATCCCAGTTCATCCTCACCAGGGCACTTTTTCTCAGGAGCTCTGTAAAAAGTGGAGACTATAAAATATGGCCCTAACAAAGCATGTCAGCAGCTTGAATGGAGCAAACTAGCCCAGATCTGAGAATCCTAATAAATAAATGAAGTTGAGCATTTATTGCCAACAGCCATGTCACTGGGGCCACAGAAAACCAGAGCCGTGCAGCTGGGAGGCGGGAGTGTGGAGCCCGGGAAGGCGATAGAACGCACCCAGGCTGGGTTATTTATGGCGTGCTGATGAAGAGACAACTTTCCATATGAGGAACAGCTTAGCAGAAGAACAGTCAAGCTAAACCAGGACGAGGTCCAGAAAAAAGGGAGAGAAACAAAGGGGGATCTGAATAAAAATGACAGCTAATAAAACAAAACAAATCGAAAACACTGTATCTTTCAAAAATAATTTAGGACCAAAAGGAAAGGGGGAAAAAAGCGATTTTTTTTTTTTTTTTTGCTGGCTTTGAGACAACTTTCCGAGAAGTCAGAGACATTCAGTGAAATGAATATGCTGCACTGGAGAACCACCTTGCCTTGAAGCCTTCCTAGCCTGGAGTCCATTGCTTTAAAGGCTGGGTTTATTCTTAAAAAAGGGAAAGTGGCGATGTGTTTGGACCAAGCCAATTTGCATGTTTCAACAGACATGTATTATGCAGATTCCTTGTCAAGTGCTGTGTGCTGAATGAAGGCAAACTCCCTACCCCCAAAAGGCTTAATCTAGGGTAAGAAGGTAGACAAGTCCACTGTCTAGCTGAGGACACAGGTGAGAGCTGGGATAGCAGCTAGATTTAGGCCAGGAAGGACAAAGGAGAGGAAGACAAGGTTGAAAGTGGAGTTTGGAGCAGAAATGATTTAGTGTTGTTTTCTTTATTGACTGAACAGACACTTTCCAAATCTCCATGCAAGGTAGACCCCGACCTGATTAAAAGGAATACATTTTAATGCAAAAATACAAATGTCTATGGTTTTGAATAATTTTTATTCTCAATTCTGGGATCTGAGGCTAATCAGAGCTGTTACCATCTTTCTGTGGTGTAACATTCTGCCTCTTCTTCTAAGTCTAGCTAAAGACTTAAGTCTCACTCATCATTTACCATGTGGTTCCAGTATGTCAAACATTTAATTTGTGTCTCTTCAGGTCTTTAGAAATATGCCAATGAGGCATGACCATCGCCCTGATTTGACAGATGAGGGATGGAGTTCTAGAGAGGTGAGGGCCAAGGCCATGGGGAGGAAGCACCTTCTTCACCTCACTGCCTCTGGGCTTAGAGTCTCCACTGGTGCCAGTGACAGAGCTACACCTAAGGCAGGTTCCTTAACTGAACCCCATTGGCCTTTTGATTTGAGCTGTTTTCAGAGGTACCTTTGCTAGCCTTTCTTTTTTCCTCCCCAATAGGATTCCTTCTTCCCAACACTCTAATGGAAGAAGAGTTATGAAGGCCCAGAAAAACACATTCCCTCATGTTAAACAGAGGTTGCTCTCTTGGGGTTTTCTAGACGCTGAGAGTTGTGACAGGCTTTCTCTCCTGAATGAACCCAGATACAGGCATCAAACGAGGTCACACTGCATTAAGAGTTTCCTTCACTCTTCAACAAGCGCCTTTACAGGTGTGTGGATCTCTCCTTCCCTTTCCCCCTACTTCCTCCCTACCCAATAGATTTAGAGTCCTTTGGGGAAAGAATTCTGCCAGAGCAATGAATCACGATCATCCACCTCTGTTCTCTGTCCCCTTTCTAACCCTTTAATTCTTTCTCTTGTGATTCTAAGAGTGATTGAACATTGGCCCCAGTACATGTCTCCACAGCCTTGGGCAGCTAAGACTTTCCCTCAAGGGAGGGAAGGGGAATTTCTGCTACGGCCCCTTTACTGACCTGCATGCTCTGGGCTCCCTTCTCTGCCCCTGTCTAGGATTTCAGAAATTCTGCTTTACCTCTGAGGACTAAGCAGACTATGAGTTGGCGTTTTCTGGCCCTTCATAGTAACTATTCATAGTAAGATCGAAAATGAGTTACTATGAAGGGTATTTCTGGCTCTTCATGGTTACTCTTCATCCTTGAGAATGTTGGGAAGAAGGGATCCTACTAGGGAGGCAAAAAAGAAAAGTTTAGCAAAGGTAATTCTGGAAACAGCTTATGGACTGTTACATAGTTTGACTTCAAGTTTCATGGTATGACTTTATGCTATATTCTTCGTGTATCTCATTTTTTAATATCTTCAAGAATAACCTTTCAGAAACAAACTGGCACTACACCAAAGTGCTGTAAGCTTTTTCATTACTAATTTTATTACTAATTCTAAAAAAATTCAGTAGCGGAGTCTAAAAGTTTGTGATATTGGGTAGGTCATGATTGGTGGACAAACCATGGGGACATCTGTCAGTGAGTTCCATCCCTGTCCTCTTAGTTGTAAATTTATAAACCTGTTTGCAAGAAGTGAAGGATTGAGACATCCCTTTTTGTATGATGAGTCAAACTGTGACCATGAATATTTGCTTTGAAAACTAGACATTCAAACAAGATAATTTAAGATACTCTTATTAGAATTTAGTTCTTCCCCTCTTGAGGTAACTTACTCTAAGTGGAGAAAAATGTTCTGATGATGTCTGGGCCAAGCTTTGGGCAAACAGAATGAGCCCCACACACAGTATTCTGATCCAAAGACTGAAATTTTAGTAGCAATGAGTGCTCAAATGGCCCCAAAGAAAATGATTTTGCAGCTGAGAAGACCAGGAATTTCAAATTGGCAACTTTTCTGATTCAAGGTAATAATTTCCTAGGAATTTAAGAGGCAATCATTTACCCTTGACTTTCAAAGGGAACCTAGGCTTGAAAGGCACAGTTGAATCTAATATTGATCAGCTAGAGACAACACTCTGAATTTGAGAGGGGAGAAAAGCAGTTTCTACACCTAGACATCTGGACTGAACTATCTAGTTCACTTTCCAGGTTGTAAATTTTCTGGCCTGAAAGTCTATTTGAAAATAACTTTTACCAAAAGAAGATCTTTTTGTTTTTTATTTTATTATCCGAAGTACTAAAAGTTTTTTTTTTACTTTCACATAGAACAATATAGGTCTAAGATTTCCAGCATCTAATTAATCTTCAGGACAATAGATATTTAAGAAAATATAGTCAAATTTAAAAAGTGTGAGCCCTTAAGAGATGGATTTTTAAGTTAGGGTAGATGATAACTTTTTCAATATACATTTCATAGCATATTTTAAAAAAAGAGAATCAGCTTGCTATCAACAATATCCTATGGTTGAGACTAAAATGGTTTTCCCACCTGGATTTTTATCACATTTGTCAATCTAATGTAACAGAAATCTTTAAATAAAAGGATACAGAAAATCTTTAAATAAAAGGATGCACACATATATTGTCAGACAGGACAGGCTCAAACACACGTTTTTACTGAAAACTATACTAGAAGAATGACCTATATCCTCTCATTTTAAATCCCTAAATTTCGATCTTTTAAAATTTATTCTGTGGTAACATCTAAGACTTTAAGTTAGTACACAGAATTTAAACATAAAAACTGCATTGAGGTTAGAAAAATATGCACCAAGGACATATTTGTGTGTGTGTATATGTATATACACACACATATATACACACACATATATATATTTCCTAAGAAAATAAAACTATGTACAAAAAAATCACTTCTGATTATTAATGCTGATTCTACCCTGTGTGACTTAAAAAAATAATTAAGCACCACCATAAAAACATAAACCTCAAGGAGCAATAGAAGAGCACAAACTCTTCTGAAGGGCCTCTTGGCCCAGTATTTCATTTTTCGATTTCCTTGGCGAGTTCCATCACTCCCTGTGTAGAGAGTGCACTTAAAATCGTCCATAGTTTGAGAGGATTCTCGCAGTTGTGCTGCTGTCCCCAGTGCAGGAGCAGTTCTTCTTTCTGTCCCCAAGTCTGTGGACAGAGGATGCAGTTAAAGCTGGAACGAGGTTCCTGGGCCCTGGGGCTGGGGAAATCCAAGTCTTGGTGGTCTCCTTGGGGCTCCCTGGATCCTGACTGGGCTCTGGCCTCTTCCCCGGGCATGTCCTTGCTGTCATTCTGAGGCTGAAGGGAGGGCTGCCTGTTCAGCTTGGGAAATGTGTGTGGTTCCTCCTCAGAAGGTGTCGGCTTCCCCTGCTTTCTTCTTTCAGGATGTTTCCAGTGTGGGGCCGCGGACTTGACCAGTTCCTCTGGAGCAGGAGCACCTCTGCTTCCGGGCAAGATGGCCTCCTGCAGCCTGCCCTGGATTTCTTCTCCGTGAGCGTAGAGTAAGTGGAACTTGATGTCAGCGAAAGACTGGGCAGTGATCTGACAGCGGCCACATCGGATTTGTAATTTTACTTCATCTGCCTGGTTGAGGAGGAGGTCTTCCAAGCTTGACTTGTTTTCCCTGAAAGGGGAGTGAGGGGAAGAGATGGAAGATTATGCATAAAAAGCCAACGGGAACATTCCCCGTCAGCTCTCACCTTTAGGGGTCTTCTTTTATTATTATTTGTTTTTTAATGTAGAAGTACTGCTATTTATTCAGCCACTGATTAGCTGATTGAATTGGGCATAAACTCCACCTTACCTTTTTTTCCATTTTTTATAATTTTATTTACTGAATCACCGTGAGAGCAGTTACAAAGTTTTCGGGTCTAAGTCTCGGTCATACAATGAAACACCCGTACCTTCACCAGTGCCCATTCTCCACCTCCCAAAACCCCAGTATACCCCTATCCCACACTCTCCCCCTACCTGTGGGGCAGATGATTTCCACATTACTCTCTCTCTACTTTGATCACATTCAATATTTTGACACCAGACCCACAATTATTATTTACTTTCTTGGTAAAGTTTGCCCTAAGTTTTTGGGGTCTGGCCATAGGCACAGCAGCAATTTGGGGACATCTGGAAGTCTGAAGGCTCCATCAGGCTGCTGATGCACTCACCTCACAGGTACAGATTGATCTGCTGGCGGCACCATACCCCCATAGGGGTCTTCTAAGACACACCCAGTGAAGTGAAGTGCCCTGGAGTAAACAGGAAACCTTTCGTGCAGACCACAGTAGCACCAGCCACTGCTCTAGCTCAGGTGGAACACTTATCAAGCCCAAGAGTCTATTGTTTCCCTCTCTGTATTTCCTCCATGGGTGCAAAATATAATCAGTTATCTCAGGAGCAGGGAAAGTGCTGCAGGAACATCCCTTGGTTGAACATTATGGTGGAAGGTCACTACCCATTCACTGCATCCACAACTGTCCTCCCAGTCCAGAACAGCAACTGCTCTTTGGACATATTACCTTAAGAATCAAAACACACTAATGTATCGCAGGAAAGAAGGTACCTTCATGCAGGGAGTCAGGTACCTTTCTAGAAGCAGCCATCTGAGAGGGGACAGAAATATCTCAAGAAAAGGGAGAGAGGGGCCGGAGCAATAGCACAGTGGGTAGGGTGTTTGCCTTGAACGTGGCCGACCTGGGTTTGTTTCCCAGCATCCCACATGGTCCCCTGAGCACTGCCAGGGGTAATTCCTGAGTGAAAAGCCAGGAGTAAGCCCTGTACTTCACCAGGTGTGACCCAAAAAGAAAAAAAAAAAAGAAAAGGGAGAGAGTAGAAAAGTCAAGAAGAAATAGGACAGGCTCAGGTTGTTTTTTGTGAACGTGGCAGAGCAAGGAAGAACTGACGGGAAAGCAGTTGGTGTAGTTAGGACGATCAAGAATGAGGTGGCAGAGAAATGGTGGAAAATGGTGAGATTTTGGGGAGATAAGGAACATTGATTTCAGGGAAGCTTCTGGGCAATAAGTGAAGTGGAGAACTGACGATGACTTGACAGCCCTTTACACTGCCTGCAAAGGTCTCAGGCGACTCCGCTGGTTTGTCAGAAGCAGTTACAGTATTACTGGAACCACACATATGAATCCTAGCTAGTAGTCATAGGAAGTACTCAATATTACTTGTCTGTAATGTGACTATGAAGCACAAGGGAACGGCCTGGGCTAAGGTCATCTGTCCTGACAGAAAATACAGAGCCAATGTGGGAGCACTTTAGGATGTGGTCTTTGTTGGGCCCTCCCCACCACAGATCACATGGTGTATTCTGGGGTAAATAATACTGTTTAGAAATAAACATCATGGACACAATTTTGAGGGCCATTACTTATGAAGAATACCAGCACCGATACAACATTTACTATGATGTGTTTCAGAAGCAAAATTCATCTCTCACCCCACTGGCACTGGTGTCCTGGGTCATGGGGGTGACTGTCACTAAGATTTGTGACTGACCAAAAAACCAAAGAGAAATGAGATAATTATCATTCTTCACAGCACGGGGGCGGGGGGTTTGGGGGTTGGAGGGGAGGGGGTTGAAGAGTGAGCTACCTTATGAGACCTTCATCAGAGATGTTTTTCTGAACTCATCCTTTAAATATGTTTAAATACGTTCCCCCACCCCCCCCCCCCCCCCCCGCCCAAAGGGATCCAAAGAGACCTTCTCCCCAATCCCCCTCCCCATCCTCCCCACCCCCAATCCCACTCACCTCTCCCCAGATCCCTCTGGCCAGCGCACAGTCGCATCTCTGTTCCTGGGTGGGTCCCCCGGCTGCGGCTCCGAGGGGGAGGGTTCCGTGCTGATGACCACCCTGTGCACCTCTTTGAGGTGGCCGAAGTAGACTCTGACGTGCCCAAAGACCTTGGCGCAAAACTCACAGCACACCAGCTTCTTGAGGCGGTTCTCGCTGTGGTGGAGCTTCATGTGCGTGCTCAAGTTGCCTGAGCGGACGTAGGCCTTGAGGCAGATGCGGCAGCGGTAGAGGCGCCGGTTGGTGTGGGTGCTCATGTGGTCCCGGAGGTGCTGCTTGAACTGGAAGTGGTGGTTGCAGACGTGGCACCGGTGCCAGGAGAAGCCGTTCCGGAAGCTGGCGCTGCGCTTGGGGGCAGGGCTGCCGTCCTGCTTCCCCGGGAGGTGTTTAGGCGGGAGCGGATGCCTCACCTGAGCATCCTGCCCGGGGCTGCCCGGGATGGGGGGTGGCAGCAGAGCAGCGGGCGACGCCAGTGGGGCCAGTGCAGGCATGACCAGCACGGGTTTGGGCATGATGCTGCGGTATTTCTTCATCGCCTCAGATTTGTGGTCTCTGGATTCTTGGGGACCACTTTTCACTTTCTCTTTACTCTCCCGACATTTACTGATGAGACATTTTCTCCTTTTGCCCTGGAAGGCCAAAATGTCCTCGGGGACCTTGCGTTTTCTTCCCCGTCTTTTGGTTGGGCCCCCATTCAGCTTGGTTTTGTGATGGAGATCCGGCTTGGTGGCCGGCCCGAAGGCGGTTCCACAGAGATTCTGCCTGGATATGGGTGGGGTGGTCATCTTGTCGGCTGCGTTTGTGGCTGCCGGGAGGGAGGAGGTCTTTCCACAGTCTGCTCTGAGCCCAGCCAAAGACAAATCTGTACGGTGGCCATCCAGTTCACTCCTGTGAGTGTCGGCAGTTTTTACTCTGGAGTAAGGTAAGATGGGCAGTTTTCCTTTGGGGATGGACGGGATCAACTGAACAGTGTTACCCAGAATGGCTGGTGACAACACAGTCATGGCTTTGGCCAGATCGATCTGTCCTTTAAGCTTCTCGCTGGCTGCAACGTCAGGTTTACTGGGTGCCATTTTGCTCACAGAAGTTGCCTTCCTTGGCGTCTTCCTGAGGCCCTGCTTGGCGGTGAGTTCCCGGGGGATGGATGACATTGGAGTGACAGAAGAGTTTGGTGCTCCTCGCTCACTGCTCACTGGTGATTGAGGGTCTCCCAAGCTACCTCTCCTGGTGGCGCTAATGCCAACTGGGGCTTGGAAGACAACTGGCACTTGCTCTGTGGGACCAGGTTTGTGTGGGGGTTCCAGCTGGTCAACTGGGGAAGGGGAGGCTTGGATTTGGGGACGCTGTTTGCTGCTCTCTGAAGAACTCAGAACAGGCTTTTTACTTGGGCCTCTGTTATTTCGGGGGGGTTGGTACCGAGGAATTGGCAATTTGAGGTTTTCAGGTGGGGGCATCCTGGGTTTCTGGATGGGCTGAGCTGAGGGAATCTGGGACAATGCGACGAGAGAAAAGGTCCCCTCGTGGCCAGCTACCTGCATCAGAGCATAATTCTGGGCAGGCATCCCTAGGGACTTGGAGGTGACGGAGGGGCCTGGGTTTCCCCGATCGGAGAGTGATGGTGAGTGGCATGGCAGCATCCGGGGAGGTAGGACCTTGGGTACGATTTTTGGTGCAATGTTCCTAAACTGACTCTTATTCTGCAAACCTTTCCCACTCTGAATTGCTCCAGAAGGGATGTTTGGTTCACCTGCAATGACAAAACAACAGAAAAAAAAAGATATCATGTAACTGTCTCGTTGAATGTGCAAATAAGTATCTTACCACTGGCTCTACCTGGAACATACTCCAGGGACCAGTCCGCCCCACTTGGGCCAATTCCTCCGTTCTTCCAGAATAGCCTGATGGTCAGCTCCTGCCCACCTCCCCCGAGGACTAATTATTCTCCTCCATAGTTCCACAGTCCATATTAGAACGTTTACCACTTCCCACAATACCTTAACTTTTTATATCACTAGCACAGAACACAGAGCTTCTGTGGGGGATGGCCCTCACCCCTGGATTTTGAGGGTGCACCCCCCATTCCCCTAGTTTTGATTCCTTTTCCTAGGCCTCCTTGACTGATCTAAACTGCAGCATCTCTACTTGGGTCACCTTCTTCCGGCATATTTTGTTGTTTATTTTGTTGTTCATCTTCTTTTCCCAGTTAAGCTCAAGCTTTGTGAGAACAGAGTCTCTATTTAATTAATATGGATATTGCCCACTGTATCTTTAGCATGAAACAAATGTTTCTTGTATCAAACTCATTTTTCACTCCATTTCAGGAGGCACCATTTGACCCACTGGCAATGCAATTTGTTTTGCACAGTGGATGAATTCCAGACTGAATGCTAGCTTTGTTGCCATTTTCCCATGTGACTTGTGAATTTTTTTCTCACACCTTTCAAACTCTTTTTGCGTGCTTTTGCAATTAAATCACCAGTATTAAAAAAAGCTGACTTGACACCTTAAGAAATGTTGAAGAAAAACAAAAAGATACAAAGTGATAAGTAAAGACACAGAGACAACCCCCCCCCATTTCCCACCCCCCAAAACAAAACCCCACAAATCACACCAAAAAAGCACCTTTTAGGGCTTTAACAGGAATAAGTTTAACTCACTGTAGCACTGTCCTCCCGTTGTTCATTGATTTGCTCGAGCGGGCCCAGTAACGTCTCCATTGTGAGACTTGTTGTTACTGTGTGTGGCATATTGAATACACGGGTAGCTTGCCAGGCTTTGCCGTGTGGCGAGATACTCTCGGTAGCTTGAGGGCTCTCCGAGAGGGGTGGAGGAATTGAACCCGGAACTCATGGAATGATAATTCATACTTCAGGGATCTAATACAAGACCAATGACTATTACTTGAAGAGAAATAAGGGAACATTCAAGGTGCAGCTTCTGAGGACTAGATCATTTCTTTTATTCCCCATGGCCGAAACATCTTAAATTTCTGGAGGTAGAAATTTCTCATTTCTATTATTCAAATTTTATTATTCAATAATATTATTCAATAATATTATTATACTCATATTATTCAAAATTACCCGCTGTGCTATCGCTCCAGCCCTTGATATCATTTTTAAGTAAAATTTTTTCTTTAAAACCTTTTGAGTTTGAAGTTGTGAGTAAGAAATGACAGAGCAAGTCACTTCGGGATTATCAAGGATAGAAAGGAGAATAGACATAATTTATGCTTTAGGGAATAATACACTGTCACTGTCCTCCCGTTGTTCATCGATTTGCTTCAGCGGGCCCAGTAATGTCTCCATTGGAGACTTTGTTGTTACTGTGTTTGGCATATCGAATACATCACAGGTAGCTTGCCGTGCAGGTGAGATACTCTTGGTAGCTTGCCGGGCTCTCCGAGAGGGGTGGAGGAATCGAACTTGGGTCGGCCATGTTGGCTGCGTGCAAGGCAAACACCCTACCCTCTGTGTTATTGCTCCAGCCCAGGAATAATTATAAATTATAAATATTAACTCTGGTTTTACAGGTCTACAGTTAGGGATCTAATAAGTTTAGCAAAAAGTTGATTTGTTCAGCAAAAATAGCATTTCATAAAAATAAGTTGGAGAGCAGGAATAAGGTAGAAGTGGGCACTGACCAATTTATTTTAGGAAGTAAACACTGGTGATAGAAAATAAGTTAAAACATAGTTCACAGGGGGTATGGTGATGCCAGGAGGTCAATCTGTACCTGTGAGGTGAGTGCATCAGCAGCCTGATAGCACCGTCAGACTTTCAGATACCCCAAAATTGCTGCTGTGCCTTTGGCCAGGTCCCAAAAACTTGGGGCAAAGTTTACCAAGAAAGTAAATGGTCAAAAGTTAGGTATGTGGGAGACACACCCACAAATCACCTCCAGCTCAGCTGGAGGCATGGCCTCTCTGGTTCCTGATTGAACTGCTTAACAGCCATGATCTCAGAGACTCAGAAATGAATCCCGGAACCCAAAGGCTTTTGGCAGAAATACGTCCTGTTCCTGCAGTAGGTTACTGGCGCTGGGCCACTCCAGGTGGGAATAGGTTTCGTGCCTTGGCCTGTTCTCCCTGGTGGCCCGGTGACCGCCATTCTCCAGAGGCTACTGGACAGTCAGGTTTGGGCCTGCAGTGACGAGACACGCAGGGCCTCAACAGATGGGGATGGAACAGGCCATTTCCTCCCTATCCCAACAAGACCCCGAGTCCCCGCCTACAAACAGCCTTTCTGGTTCCTGATCAAGCTGATTAATAGCCATGATCCCAAAGACTCAGAAACAAATCTCGAAACCCTGCAGCTTTTGGCAGAAATGCATCTGGACCGCGTACAAGGTGGCTGCCGCCTCAGAGCTTATTGAAAACCCAAGTATGAGCCGGTGGTGACGGGGAAACTGCAGTCTCATGGGAAGGGGGACAGTACCGGCTTGTCCTTCACGCCCTACCGAGGTCACAAGTTGCCCCCCACAAGTGGCTCTCTGGCACGGCCAAGGCTCCAGAGGCAAAAGAACTTAGTCCAGAGCCCGGCAGCTTGCGGCAGAAAAGTGAATGGTCCATGTGTTAAAATATGGTGCCATGCTTCCCCAGGAGGGAAAGGGTGTTGTTCCCTTCTACCTCCCCCCAACCCCCCACCCAGCAGCAAGGTGGCCGCTGGCTCAGAGCTTATAGGAAAGCCATGTATGAGCTGGCGATGATGGGGCAACTGCAGTCTCATGGTAAGGGGGGGTGGAACTGGTAAAGAGGAAGGTGTTTGATAATTGTATGACCGAGACTTACACCTGAAAGCTTTCTAACTTTCCCCACAGTGATTCAATAAACAAGTATAAGAAGAAAAAAAAACATAGTTCACACAGTAGTTTGCATTAGAGTAATAATAAAAAAAGACAAATTTTTAGAGAAATCTTATAAGAATAATGATATAATATGTTCTTTGCCTCTGGTTTTATTACCATAATGTTCATGGACAAATGGATAAGTCACTCACCTTACAAAAACCACAAAGCCAGTCCTCTTATCTACTTCTTCCTACCTCATTTTATTCATTTTAAATTCTATTTTATAGCCTTTAATTGGGCTGGAGTGATAGCACAGTGGGTAGGGCATTTGCCTTGGACACGGCTGACATGGTCAACATGGTTGACCCGAATTCGATTCCTCCACCCTTCTTGGAGATCCTGGCAAGCTACCAAGAGTATCTTGCCCACACAGCAAAGCCTGGCTAGCTACCTGTGGCGTTTTCGATATGCCAAACACAGTAGCAACAAGTCTCACAATGGTCCCGCTGGAGCAAATTGATGAACAATGGAAGGACAGTGACAGTGACAGTGACAGCCTTTAAATATTTATGGCTTTTTAAAAAAAATTTTTATTAGTGAGACACCATGAGGTACAGCTGTAGACTTACAAATTTTTGTGCTTGGGTTTCAATTATACAATGATCAAATACCCATCCCTCCACCAGTGCCCATTTTCCACCACCACGGATCCCAGTATCCCTCCCACCTCCCATCCCCCCCACCCCCCCCGCCTCTGTGGCAGGGCATTCCCTTTTGTTTTCTCTCTCCTTTTGGGTGCTGTGGTTTGCAAAAGAGGCAATGAGTGGCAATCATGTTTGGCCTATAGTCTATGTTCAGCATGCTTCTCCCATCCTGGGAGGATCCTCCCAACACCTTTATTTGGTGCTCCCTTCTCTATCTGAGCTCCCTTTTCCCCTAGCATGTGTGGCTGGCCTCCAAACCACGGAGAAAAATTCCTGGTACTAATCTTGGCCATTCTTTAAACTCTTTTTCTCACCTTTCTTGGAAGGAGTAATGAAACTGTCAATAAATTTTCTGAAACAAGGTTGAGTTTACAGAGAGCTTAAAACTACTGATAGCTTTTGGTGGATCAGAATTATGGTTTATTTGATAGTTACATTAATAAGAACAATAGTCTTTAGAGCTACACAACAGATATGGGGGGGCTGGGGAGGTAAAGTAGGGAGAATAAGACACGGGCTCGTTATATCTAGTACACATACTCCGAATTGATTGAGCAGAAAGTATGTACAGCAAGAGGGGCTGGAAGACAAGTGATGTGATCCTTCAGCAATCATTAGTCCCCTGAAGGAACGTGTGAGGATAACAAATGCAGCACGAGGCATCTTACTTCACTGGTCTGCTCCAACTGGCCAATGTTGGCTGACTGTCCCAGAGGCAAAGCCAAAGTCATTGCAGTGGCCTCAAAAGCCTCTGTCCTCTGGCTCCCAAGAAACTCCTGTAATCCCTCCTGGCCTGGCTCATCCACTCCAGCCCGGGGCCCTTTTCCACTTTCTCATGTTTTTTTGTATGTATCACACATCTCCCCACACTCTTCCCCGAGGCAGATCTCCAACTATTGCTGCCAGATTTCCCTCAAGTTTTGCTTCCACAGTGTCTTTTGTGTGAGCGCATCTTTGGCTACCTCGTTGAAAACCGCAGCCCCGTGTGGACTTGATTCTAAAAGTCTTCTCAGGGGTGAGGGTATATCACAGTAGTTGTCAGAGCTGTTTCTGGTGGAGTTTGGAAGACTAGGCAGTGGGGGAAGCACACCCACAATTCGTGAGTGCAAAGTGTACACCTGGAACCATGCACATATATAACTGAACGCAACCATAGCTCGTCCCCGCTCTCCCCTGCTTGCTTTAGCGTACAGATGATGTAAAAGCTCCCCTCCGCTGCCCCAACCCCTGCCTCCTGCCACCTTCTTTCTCTGGA